AACTCTTGAGCAGGTTTTACCAATTGTGTTTGTAAATTTTGAGAATTGTTCATTGTTCCAGTCACTAATTCTCTTTGCATCCAAAGGTTGAAGAGGATGGTGGAGATTAACTTCCTGTGTGTGCATAAAAAATTGCGCTCAAAGCGTGTCGCCCCTGTACTAATCCGAGAGATCACGCGGCGGGTCAATTTAGAGGGAATTTTCCAGGCTGTATACACTGCTGGTGTAGTCCTGCCCAAACCTGTGTCTACATGCAGGTACCAAATCTTAAAAGGATTGCTACATCAGTTTATGTTAAATACTCTCATTTATGTTATTAGATGCTCATTTGAAGCATTTCGGTGAGATTGATCCTATTATTTGTATCTCAACAGATACTGGCATCGCTCACTAAACCCCAGGAAGCTTGTGGAGGTTAAGTTCTCCCATCTCAGCAGAAATATGACACTACAACGGACAATGAAGCTGTACAGATTACCTGATGTAAGCCGTTTTGTCATTTCAAAATAAATGTTCGTCAGAAACAATACTCTTAAAGGAATAGTGCATCCAGAAGTCACCATTATATTGTTCCAAACCTATATGCTGTTTTTTTTCTGGGTGATTTTTTTTCTTCTTTTTTTTCTGATTTTGTTCTGTATTTTTCCTTAGAGCACCCGTACTCCTGGTTTGAGGCCGATGGGAGATGGGGATATGAAGCAGGTGACAGCATTGCTGCAGAAACACCTGAGCCAGTTCCACCTGCGGCCTGTCATGGGGGAAGAGGAGGTGAAGCACTGGTTCCTACCACAGGAGAACATCATTGACACTTATGTAATCGAGGTATGTGTGGCAACATGCATCTTCAAATGTGCTGATCATATTTAATCATGTTTATCTTCATATTCTTACTTGCTTATTGTGCTTTCTTGAAAGGGCTCTGGCGGGATGCTAACGGACTTCATCAGTTTCTACACCCTGCCATCCACAGTGATGCATCATCCACTGCACAAAAGCCTGAAGGCTGCTTATTCCTTTTACAATGTCCACACAGAGACGCCACTCATAGACCTGATGAATGATGCTCTCATCCTAGCCAAACAGGTACAAACACATCAGAAGCAAAAGAGCTTGTTAACCTAAGACGATTACTAATGATTTGTTGACTCATGACTAATTACTAATTATTTTTTGTTCATATATTGTATGTTTTATATGTCTTCATATATAGTGTATGTGTATTGTATAAATGCCTTCATATGTTGTAATTCATATTCCCTCTTTTTTTTTCTTTTTTTTTTTCTTTGGGGATGTTTCTCGACATCAGAAAGGTTTTGATGTTTTTAATGCACTGGATCTAATGGACAATAAGAATTTCTTGGAAAAGCTCAAGTTTGGGATTGGTGATGGTAACCTGCAGTATTACATGTACAACTGGAAATGCCCTCCCATGGACCCAGAGAAAGTAAGATTTTTTTTTTAAGTCTTTATGTCCCAGCTTTGATGCTTAACCTCTTCTTAAAACTATATATATATATATATATATATATATATAGTGCTGTCAAATGATCGCGATTAATCGCATCCAAAATAAGTTTTTTTTTTACATATGTATGTGTACTGTGTATATTTATTAGGTATATATAAATACACATGTATATGTAAATACACACACATGCATGTATATATTTCAGAGTAATATGTTATTTTTATATATTAAATGTATTTATTTATTCCATGGTCTGTCTGAATACTGGATTCTGATTGGCTGGCAGGTATGCAGTAAAACCATTTAATGCACAGGTAGTTCCAAGTCGGTTTAATCACCGTTCTATATGAATGCGCTGCTTTAATTGATGCACACTAACCAACACGCATCACTCGCGCACACACACACACAAACACACACACAGAGAGAGAGAGAGGTCAGAGATTGCTGATTGCGCTGCACACACACACAAACATGTCAACGCTTCCCCGTGATTTTCATTAATAAAATATCGCTGTTTTTGAAGTAATTGTTTGTACAGAGAGACGCGCAGACACAGCACGCAGGTAACTGACACACAACTGTCATCTCTCTCTCTCTATGATTAATTGAAATGCATGCTATAATTCATTCAAATAAATGTGGTCTTACCACACTATTTCATCTCTGTGTATGATTTGAAGCGGGCAGAATGCTAGCGCTAATGTGCTGTAACTGACGAAAATAACATTTTTACCCATTCGGTCAAATATCGTGCTGCAAAGAACAATACTAGTTTTAACTTGTCTATAACTTGGCAAATGACCATGGAATAAGCGGGATAATCAACGGCTTGCCATGCGTTAAAGGATTTTAAATGCACTTCGCGTCGGGCAGTTCTTTGCCTCCACGTCGTGCATTTAAAATCCTTTTAATGCACGGCTAGCCGTTGATTATCCCTTACTTATTCCATGGTCTGTCTGAATACTGGATTCTGATTGGCTGGCAGGTATGCAGTAAAACCGTTTAAAGGTAGTTCCAAGTCGGTTTAATCACCGTTCTATATTAATGCGCTGCTTTAATTGATGCACACTAACCAACACGCATCACTCGCACACACACACACACACACACAGAGAGAGAGAGGAAGAGAGAGAGGTCAGATATCAATCCTTAATCATTAAATCCTTAAACGCACGGCTAGCTGTTGATTATCCCTTACATAAATTATATTAATATAAATATAGACATGTAAATACATGTAACTATTTTCAAAATATATACTGTATGTGTGTGTATTGATATAAACATAATAAATATACACAGAACACACATATTATGCAAACAAAAACATTTATTTTGGATGCGATTAATCGTTTGACAGCACTAATATATATATATATATATATTATTTATTTTTTTAAGGTAGCAATGGGCTTGATAGTTAAATGCTTGGTAAAGAAACATTTGCATGTAAAGTCTACTACCTTGTAGATACGTTTTTTTTTTTTTATTATTATTATTCATTTCAGTTTCGCAGTGCTCTAGCATTAAAAGTGATAACATTGGATAACACAGCTTGAGAAGTTTCACACTATTTCTATGCTGTATATTAATTTTTATATTAGTAATTAAATATTTCTTAAATATAAAGTAAGCTATATAAATGTTAAATACATGATGATAATCAGTCATTACAATTTAAAATATTGGAGTGTGTTTTAAATCACTTCTCCATTCTCCCCAGGTTGGCCTTGTTTTACAGTAACTGGCTGCTTCGTGTTGGATGCAGACTGATCAAGAGGTCCATCTCAAATTCTCTGACCTGGACGTAGTCAATATAAAGAGGAATAACTGACATCCATTCAAAGTGAATGAGTTATGTTGTGCAGCTCTCTTAGGTCTTGTTCCAGTTATTGAGGGGTCTCCCCTCCTTTCTCTGTCTTTGACTCTCTCTCTCTCTCTCGCGATTAATCGTTTGACAGCACTAATATATATATATATATATATATTATTTATTTTTTTAAGGTAGCAATGGGCTTGATAGTTAAATGCTTGGTAAAGAAACATTTGCATGTAAAGTCTACTACCTTGTAGATACGTTTTTTTTTTTTTATTATTATTATTCATTTCAGTTTCGCAGTGCTCTAGCATTAAAAGTGATAACATTGGATAACACAGCTTGAGAAGTTTCACACTATTTCTATGCTGGATATCACACATATTATGCAAACAAAAACATTTATTTTGGATGCGATTAATCGTTTGACAGCACTAATATATATATATATATATATATTATTTATTTTTTTAAGGTAGCAATGGGCTTGATAGTTAAATGCTTGGTAAAGAAACATTTGCATGTAAAGTCTACTACCTTGTAGATACGTTTTTTTTTTTTTATTATTATTATTCATTTCAGTTTCGCAGTGCTCTAGCATTAAAAGTGATAACATTGGATAACACAGCTTGAGAAGTTTCACACTATTTCTATGCTGTATATTAATTTTTATATTAGTAATTAAATATTTCTTAAATATAAAGTAAGCTATATAAATGTTAAATACATGATGATAATCAGTCATTACAATTTAAAATATTGGAGTGTGTTTTAAATCACTTCTCCATTCTCCCCAGGTTGGCCTTGTTTTACAGTAACTGGCTGCTTCGTGTTGGATGCAGACTGATCAAGAGGTCCATCTCAAATTCTCTGACCTGGACGTAGTCAATATAAAGAGGAATAACTGACATCCATTCAAAGTGAATGAGTTATGTTGTGCAGCTCTCTTAGGTCTTGTTCCAGTTATTGAGGGGTCTCCCCTCCTTTCTCTGTCTTTGACTCTCTCTCTCTCTCTCTCTCTCTCTGAGAATGTGAGAAACATTTATCAAGGTCAAACACATCCACAAGCTGTATACACACACATACATAAATACATACACGCATACACACACGTAGTGTTCGTTTATTTTCCTTAACAATGCAGTCTGTATCCTTCCTCTCACAGAACAAGTTTAATTCCATTGTTTTTGTCTTTTTGTTTGTTTTGTTTTGTATTATGAAGGAGTGTTGATACATTTGTGTGAATTAGCAAGCTGTACATTTAATGCCAGATATTTATTGTGTTGTGAGGTTTACAACGGAACAGGAACGGGGGGGTTGAAATCCAAAGTCTTTTCTATGGAGCTGCCTTTAAAGTCATATTCCGTTTGGAGTTCCTGCTGTCTGTGCGAGGGGAGGGAGGGGGGAGTGTAAATGGTGAACCATGTGGAAGAATGTATTGCATTTTGAAGCACATCAACTTGTTTATAAAAGGGCCAGATTGCTCTGAGGTGCATTTTTAAGATTAATATGTTTATTTAGGTTTTGTGTGTCCAAAAGAAACATTTTGAATGTGAATTCATTTGTTTTGTTTCGTGAAGACATGATTGTCACACCTTAAGTAGCTTCTATTTCCCACCCATTTCTGTTCTTTACCATGTAGTGTTTTTAAATTATTATAATTTTAGTAAAGCAATTCTGATATTTAGAATTGTATTTAAGTTACATGTTCCATTTTATTCTTGATTTTCTTTGTTCTGTCAGTATTCTTTGCAGTCAAACCATAACCTCGTTCAAATGGTGCATTTGCGATCAGGCCCTGGTAATTTTGCTATACTTAAGCACAAGGAGAATTAAACAATCGTGTGTGCATTGTCATTTTGATATAAGCATTTCTCCAATGCTTTTAGTGATGCGGTCAGGAAAGCTTGCTCGCTGTTCAGTTACAATCACAGTTTGAGGCGTAATGAAATGTGAACAACGTTATTATACAGCAGAAGCTGATTTTATGTTAATACAGCTTATCTTGCCATGGTTTGCTTTAATGTATCTGAATCTACAATATGCTTTTAAATAAGCGCACGTCCAGACATGCTTAAAAAGAAAGGTACTCCTCTCAAAGTTCCACATTTCAGCCGTTGGTTTTATTCAATAATGTCCAGGGCACTTTCGCGAATGTCAGTTTGCGTATGTTTTTTCTAAGGCTTGCTGTATGAAATGAGCATGAAACTTTTTTCCCAATCTGTATGGTTTAAGAACTTATGGGTTACGGTGAGAACACCCGAAGTACTTGCCTTATTTCAGAGAGGTTGTTTTTTAAATGTCAAATTGTGTAGTTTTAAATGATCAGCTTTCTCTTTCTGAAGACAGTATTTTTATTGAACTCCATTGCAGGTTGGAACTGATGGGAATAAGTACCAGCAGCACCATGTCAAACATGACAGAGTCCACCCAAATATCTAATTGTCAAAAATATACATCAAGGTATACCAGCATGGATATTTGACTGAATAAAAGCATCCAAAATATAAAATAATTCATCTCGGTCTTTTTCCTCTCCATAACCATTACATAAACCTAAGAAAATATAAATATACTTAATCCACATTTGTCCAAACACACTATGTAGTAACCTGCATTCATGGAGCACATCTTAAACAGTCGATAAGCACGTTTGCTTTCCTTTCTTTTTCGGTTTTCTGATTTTCGTAGGATTTGGGATGATTTTCTTCACTTTTAGAGGCTGGAGGATTAAAGGAGAAGCGTCACTGGCTTCATCCGACATTTCTTCTAATTTCCTCTTCTGCCCCTTTACTGTATCGCTCTGCTTTTCCTCTGTGGAATCCGTCGGGATCCAAGCCACGCTGAGCGGCGGAACCACGGGTGGGATCGCGCGGACCACATCCTCGAACACCTCGCTGCCGCGTCTGAAACCCAGCGCCAGGACGCACTTGAGACCCAACAGTCCCGCGAGAGTGTCGCTCAGACTGGGCACCTGGCAGGCGGGCACCGACCTCGTCTTACTCAGCGGGATTAAATGGCACGTCATGTGTGCTGGCTTTACCGAATTACACACGAGCACCAAACTCAGTTCATTCCTCTCCAGGCCTTTGGTGACCTCGTTGATGCCGATGGCTAGCTGTTTCCTCACGGCCGGGTTGCTCCAGCACGGCTCGGTGGGCTTTGAGGGAGTCTGTACGCTCTCTGCGGGTTCGGGAGCTGGTTTTCGTGCCTCTGTGGGGTTTGATGCCTTTTTTCTGGACCTTCTTCTGCTTCCCCACTTGCGAAACCAATTGACTCGTTGTTTCTGAAGCCCAACGGCGGATAGTTTGACTTTAAGTGTGTTCAGTATGAAATGCTTGTGCTCTCTTTCTAGTGGACTCCAGTGAATGCTGTATGGGCTATTCATTGAAGTTTTCACTGGTATGGGCTTCTTTTTTTCTTTCTTCTTTGCTCCTTTCGCTGGGGTAGACATTCTTTCTGGAAGCCTGCTTTTAAGCAAAATTCAGCATTAAATTATAATATGAGGCATTCAACATTACATTAAAACTCTTTTATATGAACCAAGACGTATAATTATCAGCAACTATACAAACCTAATAAAATAGCCTGAAATCACCCATTATATGCACATTTCTCCGTGCGCAGACATGATGTTTTTGAAGGTCTTCTTCTGTGGTCACACAATAAATCGGTTAAGGTTTCTAAAATCCACGCTGCCATCTAGCGGCTGAATGTCCTTAAACACAGAGCTGTTCAGCTAGCTGGATATCGTCCACAAGCCTTTTTGTCATGTGCTGTAATTCACAAGTGTAGCTAATAAATATTTTATAAGTAACAAAATATATTATTTATAATGATATAAATAGACCTATTGTTATTAGTTAACCTGATTAAATAAAAAAATGTAAAGTTCATTGGATTATGTTTTTTTTTTTAAATGTATATTATATATAGAGGGACTAGTTACGTAAACTGTGCTTTTTGTGTCCTGAAAACTGATCTATATAAATTACTATATAAATATAAATGCATAAAATAAATTATCTATTATAGATCAGTGGTCCTGACACAGCTGATTATTTTAAGACTTCTTTAGCAACCATTGTTTTGTTTTGTTTTTCCTAATATTGATGAGCACTTTGTTTTATTATTGTAACATTCATTGTTTGGTCTACTAGAAAAATTATCTAAATACACAAAGACAATAAAAATAAAGAATATATGAGCTACCTTAATAAATCCATTTTTATATCTAAATTTCGGTTTTAAAAAATCTGCTTTGTTTGATTTGTTTTTATGTTTATATTAGCTATATAACCAGGAAATAGAAATATGTCTACCCATTGTTTACAGGTTCAGTTTAAATCAAATAAAATAAATGAATAAACCTGCAAACAGTGGGTACCCTGCCAATTAATGTCAATTAATCATTTTCCCATTTATATGTTTTTGGGGTAAACTCTGGATCTCGTATTACGTAAAGCTGCATGTGAAAGCTAAAGGCACAATGCTGGAATGAATTGTTTCACCATAGAAATAGAATAAGCCGAAGTTCACTGGGTTTCTCCCTCGGACGTTCCATCAGCCAATCAGCGCTCAGCTCCACAGCAGCGACCTGGAGATCATCGTAAACTCTATTCCTCAGTGCATCTACGCTACGTTCTAGCTGACGCGCCCAGCCACACTACTCGCCTAAGAAAATGACTTTGAAGGTATTTATCTGCACTGTTTTCTTTTAATTCCACGTTCCTTTTAATTCCACGAGATGTAATACATGAATAACAAAACGTTTGGATATTCCTTTAAGTCCGCAGCTGGATATGTAGGTAGGATTTTAAAGATTACAAGCCCTATTATAATACTGCATTAGATTTAGCTGTGCACGCAAAGCTGATTTTATTCTCGTCGTGTGCTGAGGCGCATATTACGCATCCATTTCAGATATCACGATCGTTTTCGTGCTGTTTTCATCTGCAGCTTCTGGATGTGCGCTCGTGGATGTATTACGTCACGTTGTCCTTTATTCTTGCTCTGGCAAAAAGTTGCGCGACATGCATATGCTATCCACAAACAATTCATTTCATATGAAAGTTTTGTAGTTGATAAATCCGACTTGAGAAAGCCTGTCTCAAATGCCAACCCTTATCTTGTAGGTTTATATGGGTACAAAGAGCATTCATGTTGGCACGCAAACAATAGGCTGCATACAGTCTGAGAATAATGCATGATGCTTATAGTGATTAAGAATGTGCTTAGTGTGGGGCAAAATGGGTCAGACTACAGTATGTGACCATTCCCCCCCCCCCCCCCCCCCACCCCAACCACAA